GAGAACTGTAGAAATAGAGTCTCATTTAAATATCTGAAATAGGCAACTATGTGTTTAAAGACTTATGTGGAAATAAGCTAGAATTGGCTAGAAATGTAGCTGGCCAAGTAGACTTGGTTTAAGATAGTTCCTGGTAAAACCATGCTGTAGCAGATGGTCTGCTCCTAGCGCAAATGTCAGAAGCAGAAGTTCCCTTTCTGGAATCTGCTCCCATTATTCAGCAATTCTTCTAGATTAGGACGGATTCTTCCCTAGTTTTTTTTTTTTTTTTTTTTTTTTTTTGAGACAGAGTCTCGCTCTGTTGCCTGGGCTAGAGTGCAGTGGCATTAGTCTAGCTCACAGCAACCTCAAACTTCGGGGCTCAAGCAATCCTTCTGCCTCAGCCTCCTGAGTAGCTAGGACTACGGGCATGCGCCACCATGCCCGGCTAATTTTTTTTTTTTTCTGTATTTTTAGTCGGCCAATTAATTTTTTTCTATTTTTAGTAGAGACGGGGTCTCGATCTTGCTCAGGCTGGTCTCGAACTCCTGAGCTTAAGCGATCCTCCTGCCTTGGCCTCCCAGAGTGCTAGGATTACAGGCGTGACCCACCACACCTGGCCCATTCCTAGTTATTTTCATCAACTCCTATTTGAACTTAGCAAAAAGGCGTCTCTTTCTCTTCTTTGTCATTCACCCTTTCCAGTATGCATTGTTAGTGCCTCTCTCCATCTTCAACCCCAGGCCCACTAAGATACATGTACAGAAATCATTTATAGACTAATCAATCAGTGCAATAGTATTTAATTGTGGTGGCCTACCAGGTAACACAGTCAACTGGGTCCCGGATCCAAAGGTCAGTTGCCAGCCTGAACCAGAAGAAACACTGTGATATGCCCAACAACAAAAACCAGATCACATAGGCCGGGCTGGCAGAGCACTGAGTAAAGAGTTGGCAGCTGGTTGCTTTATGAATTAGGCCTGTGTCACTGTCAATCTAGGTTTGGTCTGGAGAAACCAAATTGATTATCTACAAATCCTAAATAAATCCTTCTTTGTCTTTACAATCCCGTTTTCTTTTAGGGGATCTTTTATTACCACTTTCCACTACTGAGTTCTAGGCATCAAATGTATGTCTTCAATATATATGTAGAGTAAGTGTTCTCTGGTTTTAGATGTCAAACCGGCATTTGGATGTATTCATCTAAGGAAACTCACAGAGCCCAGAATGAAGAATATTTCTCCTCTGCAGTGGGCATCACTGGAATGCGCCACCACAGAACTGCCCGAATTCTGGAATCTTCCATAGGTTGAGTGTGCAGAATCTAAATGAGGTAGGCATACAGCTGGCACTGTCCAGTTAACTTGGCCACTAGTGTCATATTGATAAAATAATTTTATGATGATCAATTATCAAGGAAATTGCTAGTTTTCCACTTGACTTTTGGGCCATTTCCTTTCTCATGACTAAAGTAGTATCTATGTTGATTTATCTGCTAAAGGACTTTAAAATTGCCCCCCAAAACTAATTTTAATATATCCTAAGTTAGTGGGGATGGATAAAAGGGTGACACCCGAGAGGGACCAGGCTGTGCACTGTCATATCTGTGAGAAAAAATGGGATCCCCTCCAGAATATAAGTCCCTTGAGGGCAATATCACATTGAGTTTGTTTCCTGCTGGATCCCTGATTGGAGCACTGAGCCTGGCATAGAGTTGATGCATAAAAATATTTGTCAGATGAATCTTGCAGACTCCTCAGACTTCAGATTTGAGCAAACTGACAGGTTTGGCAAACTGGAGATTTAAAGTCTAGTCTTAGCTTGTCCACAGACTGGTTGTGGGGGCATAATCAGTCTTTTCCCTGAGCCCCAGTTTTCTCATGTGCCACCATGCCCAGCTAAATTTTTTTTCTATATTTTTAGTTGGCCAATTAATTTCTTTCTATTTTTAGTAGAGATGGGGTCTTGCTCTTGCTCAGGCTGGTCTCGAACTTCTGACCTTGAGTGATCCTCCCACCCTGGCCTCCCAGAGTGCTAGGATTACAGGCATGAGCCACTGCACCCGGCCAGAAAGGAAGATTTAAAAATTTCTCTGTGCTCCATGAGGTGATAGTGTACACATTTTTGGCCTAAAGTCTCAGAACAGAAAGTGTCCTTCAGTACTCATGCATCAACTTATTTTAAAAGGTGATTTTCAGACTTTGGGAGAGACTAATTGTATTTATTTTGGTCAATGATTATTATTTACAAGGTTCCTTCCTTCTATAAATGGACATAATCTCATCCAAAGAGAATCGTGCCTTAGAGGGCTTGTTAAGGAATTAGAAATCTTGTCACCAATTACTGTACAAATCCGGGGCTATGATCCAAGCCAATACTCCCAGTAATCAGTCATGCAGTCTAGTTCTACTAGACTAACACATACATTCAGGACTACCACATACTAACACATACATTCAGGAGCAAGTCCCAGAGACACCCTTCCATGCCCATCCTGCACCAAGATGCCAGCTCCTAACCAGAGAGAATTTTGGCCTCCTATTTGACACTCATTCCCTTCTCTAAACATTTTTCATACAGTGTATAATTGGGTCTAAATCAGCCTTTAATCCACAAACATTGCTTAATCCAGGGATACATTTTATACTTACTGGGCTTCACAGATAACTTGGTTCCCTGTCCGAAGATAAGCTTTCCTCCCTGGTTATAATTCACACTGTGTTACATATCCTGTCAAAAACACATCCAATCTGCCTGAACACATTTCTAATCCTCCTCCCCCAATCCACCGATCGCTCCCACACCACAACGTGAATCACAACGTGAATCGTGGCTACACTTAACACTTCTCACTGTGACTTTTTTCCTTATAAGGGGAGTAACGGTATTCACACAGGGGACTGATGGAGAATAATGAGAATTCCTATTTATGTCAAAATGTTTCTATTTAACACCAACACTGATCTCTCATTTTTGCTTAATGGCTTTGGGTACTGCTGTTTGGGGAAATGGCTTCTTTTTACATGTATTTCTCATAGTCTCAGCTAGAAATCCTTAGCAGGCAGGGGTTAAAAGTAAGGGCAGGCGAGGCTCCAGGGAATCAGGCTTACCTGGGGTGACCACAACCTGGGTCCCTGCTCCAAAATGCAATTTCCCCCAGCCGCCAGTTGTCACACTGTGACAAACACCTCTACAAAATGGCTTCCCCAGAGAAGACAGCTGCTAAATGAAGACAAACTGCTCATGGGGAAACAATCTCGCTACAAAATGAGGCGACTGCATGATATGAGATATAAGCTTTTCCCCTCTTCTCTTCTAATTTCTCTTCTTTTAAGACATTGAAGACGATGTGAGCCAAGAGCTGCACTTCCGGGCAGCAGGGCCGGAAAGCAGTGCCACTGGGGTCAAGGGAGCCCGGGCGCCAGCTCTCGACTGTGCAGTGGTAGAATCCACCAGGCTAGGAGTTTGCCTAAGACTCAATCCGGTTCTCAGCACCACTGCAGCTCAAAAAACAGCGGATTGCAACTGCTAACCTCTCATTTAAATAACTGGTGTTTCGGACTCACGAATCTAGTGGAAAAACTATTTTAGGATCCTTGGGTTCTGTTTCTGTTTGAAAAGTATTAATCACTGGCCTTTCCTTACCTCACTTTTTAAATCTATTCAATGGGCATAACTATGTTAGAGTCTCCTTCTGAGGAAGATCTCGCCATCAGAGGTTTTACTTATTGGAAGTCTGACAGAGTGGACAGATGCCAAGGCCAGGTTATTGGTGGGGTCCTGGTGGGTTTGTTCCCCTCCATACCTTCCAGAGCCCCTTCAAGGATGAACAAGGTGACAAGGTCCTAGGCCTCGGTCTGCTCAACCCCTTCAATGTCCTTCTGACCCAAGGAGGCCCCCGTGGAAAAGACAGCAGGTTTTCCTCTTGGAGATAATCATATTCAACATGCAATTTAAATTATATGGCACTTACTTGGCTTGACAAGGAGCCTTGTCCCCTTCCCAAAGATAAAGGAGAAGCCTTGTCCTTCCCCACAGTGATGATATCAGCATCAAAAACCTGCCAGCTCAGCTCCCCGCCCCCAACCCCCCACAGAGCCCTCCTGAGAAGGGAACTTTCCATGTATTTCCTCCAGTGTAATTCATACAGGTTTGTGCTTTTTCTCCCTTTATAAGTGAGCCCCTCCACTCCTTATTGAGTTCACGGTTCTGTTCCATACTCCCCCTCTACCTCCCTCTTCATCGCAGCTCCTGAGGTCACAGTGGACCCCCGGCCTCAAGCCCCTCCAGTCTATCCCCATGCTGAACATTGGACGCATCTCCATTCCCCACGTGACTGTACTTACAGGGCAGCACAGACAATCTGGTTCCAGAACCGAAGACCATATTCTGGGCATAGTTATTCCCACAGTGCTTCTGGGCTCAGCAAAAACCCCCGAGAGCTTCCTCCCCACAGGCCAGGGCATCTCAACACTCCAACAACCCAGGACCCCGAACCTGTGTTTTTGGGTACAGAGTGAAAAAGCCAGCCTATTTGTCAAGTCCTGAGAACAAAGGGAGTTTGGGACCAAGCAGGCAGAGGTTCCAAAACTTAACCCTGCAGGCCCCTGTGTCCCGCAGGATGCAGCTCTGCATTAATGAGCCCGAGTCTTTTCATGGAGACAGGCTTCGGGGGCTGGGTAGAGGCTTAAAGAGGCTCTCATTTCTCCTCCTGCCTTGAGGCAGGGCTGCACTCCAATCACCCCTGATAGCAGGGTGTCTATCTCCTTTCAAAAACCCTCCAGAGAAAGTGCCCTGGCAACTACTCCTGACAGCTCATTTTCACTGTTCAAAAACCTATTAGGAAGGTATTAGCACTAACCTAACTCCCTTCCTGCAGTATTAGCCACGTCCTGTGGTCTGAATCCTGGTGGAGCTGGAGCGTGAGCCCCTCCATCTTCTATTGCTTCCTTTCCCAGATTTAGATATGACTCATCTCCTATCCTACCTTACCTTCAACCTCTTTTCTTTGAAATAAACTGCCCCATTTTGCCTCCACAAACATTACTGATCCTCCACCTTGAGGTCTGAGAGTTTCGTTGAGTGGCTCCTCTTAGGAGTCCTATCTCTCGTGAGCTGGGTTACCCTGGAGTAGAAGGGCCTTCCCCGTGAAGCTCCCATCTTCCCTCCGTCACTGCCTTGCCACGCGGGGAGCCCATCTCGTGAGAAGGGCTCAGGCCACTTTGGAGGGTGTCACACTGGGGTCAGCTTGCTGACGGGATGGGGCGAGGTTTCAGTTTCTGCAACACTGGCCCTGCTGTGGTGTGAACTGCATCCCTGCTCCAGGGGTGCAGCTCTCTGCAGAAGTCTCCCCCCTGCCTCTGACACTTGGATGATTTTGTATTCAAATTAGTCAGGATTCTTTCTGTTTCCACTTCCAAATCCCAGGTGAAGAATTTCATAGAACAGGCTGTCATTCTCCACCCTCCCCCCCCATTCCAGCTCTGCTCCTGATGCGTGACAGAGCCTTGACAGAAGAGCCCGAGGGGCGAAACGGAAGCTCTACTGTGCGTTAGAGATGATGTTTATCATTATTATTAATAGCTAGGGTTTAATGAGATTTTTCTATGTTCTCAGCACTATGCTAAATACTTTAGCTGTATTATTTCACTTGATCCTTACAATAACTCAACAAGGTAGGTATATTTTTACTTTCATTTTATGCATGGAGAAACTGACGCTCAGAGAGTTTAAGTAACTTGGCCGTGGTCACACAGCAAGGACTTGAATTCAGGTTTTTCTGTCTCCAAAGTTCATGCTATACTGCCTAATCCATAATTACTTAAGCTCAAAATGTCCAGAGGGGACATGATGGCTGCAGAAATGGCCTCAGTGCTCAGCCTCACATTCTACAGCAGATATTTTATTCTCAATGAAAAGAACCACCAGAACCAGACGCACAGAGTTCTAGTGGTTCTTTTCAAACAGATTTAAATTGCAACAGGGGTATCAAAGTTAGAAAGTGAGAAAGTACTTTCTGGCAGCAAGGTGCTAAATTTTGGAATTGATTACAGAAAGAGGCAGAGGAGCTTCCCACCCTAGACCATCTGACAGAGTCAGAGCACATCTCATCTGGCCAAGAAGCCTGCTAGGAAGCCCGGAGTGGGGTGGTGGACACTGAGTCCCTAGGAGGTCCTTCTGGCATCCGCATTGGCTCAGGTATTGTTTGTGTCTCTATTTCTTTCAAAGTGTTGTCTATGCTCCTGAGAATCCCTCAGCATGAGCTGGAGCAAGCGTGTGCGTGCATGTGTGTGTATGCATGATGCGCTCACATCTCATTTTCAAGCAGAGAAGAGAACCAACTCTCTTTGGCCTGGGGAAATAACATTAATAAAGAGCCCAAGCAGATGCACAGGATTAAAGTAGTTTTCAAACTAATGATTTGATCGATTGCCCCTGAAGGCCCAGGTGAAGAAGAACACAACTTACTTGGCTTCACAGTGAGTGTGGTCCCATCCCCAAAGGTTAATCTGCGTGCACCGGTGGTACACAGTGTGCAGTGCTATTGCAATAACCTTGACTGCGGCCTCTAGGAAGACAGGTGGAGGTGGGGAAGGCAAGCAGGAAAACAAAACCTGAGATGACTGCCCATGGCCAAAACAACCTCCTTGTAATTAGGTTATAACGTGGGAGGAATGCTGATAACTAGCACCTCCCCAGCCTGTTTCCATTTGCTGTAATTTTCCTTGAAAGAATGGGCCTTGGCAGGAGCACCTCCTGGGAAATTCACTCCAAGTGGCTCCTGCTCTGCCTCCTGGGATCCTGTCTTGTTTGTATTCCTGCAGGCCCCCTGTCCATTTTCCTCCAATTCTTGCCTTTTCCTCCCCTACTTTTCTTGGACCTTCCTCCTTGTGGAGGTTCACATAGTTTCCCAGGGAGAGACTACATGGATATTAAAAGCCCAAGTACAATACCCCAGAGAATATGTGCATTAATAACCTTGTTTTCCACTGGTATCATGAACCACCCAACACAAACCAAGCAAAGAAAACACCACCTGTGTTTTGACAGCTTCTGCATGACGGAAGATGGGCTTCTTGGGAAGAATAATTAGCCGGAAAGAAGAACTTACTTGGTGTGACCAGGAGTTTGGTGCCCTTCCCGAAAATGAGTTAGTAACTCCCAATGCTACAGTATGCACAAAATTTCCTTTGTTTGCAAAAACCTCGAAGATGCTGAGAAAAATCAGACCACTCACAGCATAGGAACAGCTCTGACAAAAGCTCAGACTGTAACAACCACCAGACAATAGGCAAAAGAGAAGGGCATTACTGAGGGTTGCCATGGATTGGACCATCCCTCAGAGTCCTGGCTAGTGATTGTCTGTCAGAGGTCATCTAGTCTGTCCTCCTGTCTTCAGCCAAGGTGTTTTCTGACCAAAGACCTGCCTTGCTTTTAAGAGCTCCTAGTTTTGAAGAGCAAGCAACTGTTCCTTATATCTAGCAGAAATCCTACAGACTGCAGTCTGAGCCCTGATCCCTTGGCTGCTTAAGATTCCCTAGTTGAAGACAGGATTTCACATAGACATACTGCACAGACAAACTCATCACAATACAGCAAACCAGTCTCAGTGGTTACTTTCGGGGAGGAAGCTGATATTGAAGGAATGGGTCAAGGTGAATATTGGCTCTATCTGTAATCTAAATGTTTTACAGTGAGACATTTTTATGTATTACTTGTGCAAATTAAAATTAATGATAACATAAAACAGAAACCCACAATGTATTTAAAAATGGCTCTTGGACAAGCCTTTCTGTACTCCCCTACGCTAAGGCACCTGAAGTTCTCTGTGCTAGGGCTTTGGTCTCCTGCGGTCAGAGGCGGGAACTGGGCCAGGGTGTGTGGTCCGAACAGGCTGGAGGCACTGAGGCCAGGGCACAGTGCAGGGCCCAGTCTGTACTTGCCATTACTATCTGGTCAGCTTTTGAATTACAACAGAGTAAACTGTTTCATCTTTCTGCCCAACACTAATGGCCCAGTTCCTAATAGATCTTTCTTGAAGGCAAATGCATTCCTAGGTACACTGAAAAATGATTCAAGGGAACAAGCCGGTGTTGATCAGAATTAGGGATGGCCAGGAGCACTTACTTGCAATCACAGAGAGTCTCGTGCCCTTTCCAAAGACAAACTGCCTGCCTCCTGTATCCCCACAGTGATCGCCTCCATGACAAAAAACCCTGGATGACTGGCCTCAGTGTTTTCCCTGGAAGTTTCTTCTTGTGAATCCTCTTCCCTGGTAGAAACATTCAGAAATCTCTCCACTTAACCATAGGTTTTGTTTTTCCTTAGCACGTCTTTGCCCCCTTCTCCCTGAGCCTCTACAAAGTATGCTATTGTCAAAATGTCTCTGGCTTTGCCTGTCTGCCCTGCTTGATAAGAGCTTCTATACACAGAGTTGTGGCCCAAGGATGCATTTCTGAACTGCCTACAAACTTCTAGCTTATCGTCAGCCTGTGAAAAATATTCCAAAGGAAACCCCTGTTTCTGACCTCATGATGAATTCTTTGCTCTACTAGGAATACAATGGAGTGGTCAGGTCACTTCTCCTAAATGAAGGAAAGGATTCGGAAAATGGGACAGAGTGAGAAGGCTCAACACAAGATATAGCTCTTGGCCACAGACCATCTTTGTTGTCTCTGACGTTAAAGTAGCTCCTAAAAAAGTCATCTCACGCCCATCACTGGAACAAGGGAAATGAGAGAGCATGGGCCATCAGAGCCTGGAACCTTAGCAGAGGCCAAAGAGAGCAAAGCAGATCTTTTATAAAGGGTGGAAGGAGAGGGGTCATGGGTACACTGGGGTCATTTCCAAAATCAATTTAGTTGGAGCCAAAAATCACACTGGGTTTAATGTTGTGTTCAAGCAAAAAGTCCACTGGGGACAAGACTGGGAGAAAGCCTTGAAAATGAATTCTGGACAAAGTTTCACGACTTTTTATTCCTGCCAGTAATTAAATAATGGAAAAAGACAATTGATATTTAGGTAGAAGACTGGCAGCAACTTTCCCAGCACTAGAGGGGGAGAATTTGGTATTTACTAAGCTGTGGAAAGGCTGAGGACCAGGTCTCTGCAAGAGAAGAAGGGCCCAGGACTCAGAGGCCACCCACACATCTTAGAGCCTAAGAAATGTTCCCACCCAACACTCCCAACACTTTTAACTCAGTGGGAGTCAATATCAGAAAATCATGTGAACAGCACTTACCGGGGAGAACATGAAGTTGTGTCCCTTTTCCAAAGGTGACTTTGTAAGAGCTTTGTTCACACTGTGATAGGGATCATAACAAAAACTCCTACTAACTCTTTTTTGGAAAGCTACACATTCCTTGATGGATATTTCACCTTCTTGGACTTAACACATTCCCATTTTGTCTCTTTTCCTATAATAAACAGGCCTCATTATCTGCTCAGTCATCTTTCTCTGTGTCTCTTGGTTGTTCTGCTTGAATTTTATGCTGCTTATTGCAAACACGCAGAGAGGAAATTGAATGACCTCATTTGACACTGAGAGTGAATTATAACAGCAACAATTCAACAAACTCCTTTCTGATATCAAACACAATTCTGTTACTGCAGGAAAAAAAAATGCCTGGCAGACAGCCACCGAACTAGAAATCCACTCTTCAGAGCCCAAACAAGGATGGGGGCAGGAATGGCCTGCTTCAGACACACATCTGAATTTCCACCTGGGAGGGACCGCATCACAGAGCCCTTCCCTTACCCTGGCTCTGAGCCTTAAGTTTCAGAATCAGCCATGCCACCAAACTCTGAGGATACTTTGCCTCAGGTCAAGCACATGTTTGCTACACTCATTATAGCCCTGACTGAGCTGGGATCATGGAGATAATTCATTTTGGCCCAAAGGGATCCCGTTTTCTCTTTTGGGAAATGTTCTCCTTTCATAGTCCATGGATGTGGTCTCTTACCACCAAGAGATGGAAACATGGAAACCATATGTCGTTGCCGTCTATCCTGATGGGATCCTTGTTTGCTGTGTAAAGAACCAAGCCCTGTTTCCTCCTCCTCGTTATCTCCCTCACCCCAAAGATGCTCTTTGCCACGGGTCTTAAAGAAAGTTAACGTGGATGGTTACATTTACTAGATCTAAAACAAACTTATGGAGTCACCTAGTTCATTTCCTTGTCTGCTGGCATTTCCCACAGCTGAACCATTTAAGAATAGGCTATCCTAGCTTAAAGCTCCCTGGGTTGGTCACCCATAGTTGCAATTATAACCTGTTGTAGGGTTTAATAACCCAGTTAGTCAACTTGATGACACCTGCCTCTTAATATTAATTTTTGGTCTGACGTTTGGATGGGTCCTGTTGTCCCCTCCATAGCAATGTGGGGGAACCAATGCCCCAAGAGCACCCCCAGGAAGGCCAGGCTCTTGACTGCCTTATTCCCCTCCTTTCCAACGAGGTATGTTTAAAACTCTTTTACTCCCCATGGAAGAATTGATCGTTAAACAAAAGTCTTGTCGTCATGCCTGTCATTCTATTTCACTCTGAATTTCCTTTCAGGTGTTTATAAAGCCATCTGGGATCAGCAATTTGTCTTTGAATTGTTTATTTCCCCCCCATTGCATTTGAATAGTAAGGCTGTGTTTTCAGTGAAATTTGACATGTATGGGACTAGATGTGGACATTTGTCAAAATGGGACAATGTTTGGGTTTCCTATTAGATCTTTTAGAATAAATATATATGCAGGCAAAAGAGACAAAGAAGGTACCTTATAAATATTAGTAGCATTTAAAATGAGATAGCTTCTCATTTATAATACAAGGGAAGACAAATTCTATGGGAAAAAAAAATCACAGTAAACATACAAATCATTGCAGAACATAATTTAAGAGATACTGTGGCTGTAGATAACTCCTGGCCTCAATATCTCTCTGGAAAAAGAAAAGCTGAGTTACCATATTAAAAGTGATCTGAGTTGGTCTCATTTTGCATCTATTTATCATTATTACTCTATTTTCAACAATCATGACTGTTTGACGTATTTGCAAAAGTCATTTTTTAAGATGTACTTTTGTTTACATATTAAATTAAATCTCCACTAACATCCTAGGACTTGTTTGGTCAAATATAAATAGAACATGGCCACTTACTGGGCTTCACCACCAGCTGGGTTCCATTTCCAAAGAAGATCCTGGCGTTGTTATTCGCACAGCATTTCCTGCCTTTACTGAAAGCTTTAGTGAAACCCAACCAAACACACAGCACTCTGGCTAGGAGGCAGTTGGACTCTCTATGGTTTTTTTTTTTCCTGTGTTTCTGGAAATTGGCTTTTTATGATAGGAAGAAAAAAAATTGGTTCTGCTACATAAAGCAAAACATTTCTCCTTTAAAAAGACCAAACTTATGAGCTTTAAAACCCTTTTGCATTTCTAGGCTTAAATCTGCCAAAGCTGAATCAAATAACTTGTTAACAACTCTCGCAGTCAATGCGTGAACTCAGCCTCAGACACACAGGTATGAAAAGATGATACATTCTTACTTCCACAGGGATATTTCCTGCTACAGAGCCATCTGAACTCACCTCCAGACTGCACCTAAACTTCAGGACCCTGTCCCTTAACCACTGGTCAAGTTATTTCGAAGCCTTCTCAGTGTGCAATAGTGCTTACGCGATAGCCTAAGAAAATATTTCATCAGAGAAGAGTAACAAAAGTCAAGCAGTCCTATTTTTCCCCTAGGAAGTTCCACCATGGACTCATATGTAGTTTCAGCCAGGAAGGGGTAGAGAGTAATGACATGCCATCTCCCACAACCTTAAGAAAGTCCAGTCCTGAAATAAATGGCAGAAGTGAACATTTTCTGTTATAAAGAAGATTGCATCCTAAAGGCAAGATGAGGGCATGCGAGAGCCCCTTTATCACAAAGCTGCGGTGTTGGCTGGGCTTTACACTAAGTATCTGGGAAAAAGAGAGAGGAGTGAGCATCCCAGACGGTGATACCAGGTCACTGACTTTCTTGGTTACAAGTAGAGCTTAAGAAATAGACTTTTAAGCTTGGAGAGACAAGGAGACTTGATCTCATCCCCAGAATGACTAGGAGTTGTTGATTCTTCATATTTGAAGAGGAAAAGTTCAAAGCTAATTTTATTTCTCTCCTCTCAGGCTGGGAGCAGTAGGTGTCCAGAGCAAACAAAAAGAATTTATTGTAGGGAAAGCGAAAGGGAATCCAATGCAGGAAATAGAGGAAGGTGTTACATGGATCACAGTTCTCAAACTGAGCTAACTGCCCTAAGCCTCCATTTTTCCCCCCTTGCTTACCCCAGGGGGTTAGTTTTGCCTGACTTCTCAGCATTCTACTCAAGTGTGGCTCTGGAGTCTCTTTTGGAAGGAAAATAAAACATGGCCTATAGAAGAAGGTGCTTATACCAGGTGAGTAGGTTAGCAGAAGTTGTATCTACACGGGTAAGGTTATGACCAGAGCTGATAAATGCCCAGGAGATTGGGTTCACAGAAGCAGAAAGACTGCAGCATTGGGATAAGAACAATTTCCCCAAAGTCTTTTTTCTTTGAGGTTTATCTTAAAATTAGCATGTTTTCCCTTCCCTGACTGAGGTGTGCCATCCAGGAGAATGGGAAATTCTTAGAGCTTGCCATATCATGGGCAGATGAGGGATGACAGCTGGGAACAGAGTCGACCTTCAGCCCTCCTTTTCCCCAAAAATTGCCTGTAACCTCCCGCTTGCCTCAGACACAGAATCCACCTGACAAAGCCCACGACTCACGTACTTGGCTTGACGGAAAGCAGAGTGCCAGTCCCAAAGATGAGCTTGTTTGCAGAGCCCCCATAATTCACACAGCCCTTCAGAGCCTTACACTAACCCCCGGTGGGGGTGGGCATGGCAGGATGGGGTGAGGACAGCTCAGTCCCACTCCTGCGAAAGCTGACTTTCCAGGTATCCCTCCAACCTTCATATTTCCCTGACATGCCCTAATGCTGCCTTTTAAGTTCATCCTAATGGGGTTTGTGCAGAACCCTGGGAGATTCCAGCAAGTGACCGAGAGCTCTGCAGGCATCTGCTCTCCTGGGACGGCAACCTGGGCAAGGATGTCAGGAAAGCTGCATGCACGCTATTTTTCACCTTTGAAAGTTTCAGTCTTTGACCGTGGCCCTTTCCCTTTTCTTTGAATTTGCTTTTCCAGGGGAATGAGGCTGTTTCTATCCTTAAGAAAGAATTCTAACCATATCAGAGGGAATTAGACACTCCCTAACAACCTGGCTCTGCTCTCTTAGAGGGCTGGTTAAGTATTATTCATTCTGGAAGCAACTAGACCAAACAAAAGAGTTAGTGGCTGACATCGCTTCTCGCTGGGAGTGAAGACCTCACTTGGGTAGAGTGCATTGTCTCCAGCAGGCTGGACTGTTCTTAAAAATACAATTTGTATGCTCTGCTTCGTGCATTATTCAACTAGTGTCTCACAGTCACATCTCTGAGTCTTACCTGGCTTTATAATTAGCTTGGTCCCAGTGCCCCAGATCAACCGATAGTTGCTATCCACACAGACACAAAAACCTTAACAAAAACCTTCACTGTCCTTCTGGGGAGCTTATTAGAGATAAAGCCCAGATAAAAAGTCTAGAGGAAAGCACATAAGACAATGTAGGAGTATTGGCTATTGGAGATTATTTGCTCATTTAATTACATTTGATTCCCTTGCCCATTATAGATTCCAGACACAGATGATGAAATCAAATGACTAAACATCCAAAGTCAATCTAGGTCTCTCGGCATGTAAGGGAAACATAATTCATCAACAGTTTTCAAATTGGAGAAGCTGAGCTTGCTTCACCTTCCCTGATATTTTAATAAAAATGCAAAAGGGAGAAACAGATCATTTGTTTGGAGTCATAATGCACCTGACTCTCTAGTGTCTTAATTTCACTGCTGATAAGATTTTGGTCAGCACCACGGTGTTCACATACGGACTGAAGTGTCCCGGTTTGTACAGGGTTCTGTCTGTGAGAAATGGCACCCTGTGGGCTGTGGCCCCAGGCAGCTGGAGATGTGGAAGGCCCTTACAGAACTCGTCTTTGGGAAGGGTGGCCTGCGGTACTGTGAGAATGTACCCAAATGGCTTGGCTGTGTATAGAAAACACCTTTTCAAAATTGCTCCTTGGTTTCTAGTACTTACTTGGAAAGACTTGCAATCTGGTCCCAGTCCCAAAGATGAGCTTGTCTCTGTTGGA